CTTACCAGACTGGTGGGTCTTAAAGGGGAATAGCTTACCAGACTGGTGGGTCTTAAAGGGGAATAGCTTACCAGACTGATGGGTCTTGGGTAAGAAAGGGCTTGGGGAATCTCTTCCTAGTCCTCTCCTTCATGTCAAGAGCCAACCTGCATGCAGAGGCCATAGACTCTCAATCACTGCTCACATGCCAGACAGGTGTGGTGGGCCAGGTGTTTCTAGGTGGGTGGTCTGTGTCACTGGAGTGTTTAGCATTAGGAAATCTCCATCCTGCTAGGTAACCGTTGATAAAGTAGATAAGGATATCCTCACCCGCAAATGCCAGGCCCTTCGTCTTGCTGAGCGTGCCTTCTACCCCAGGCCTGAAACAAGGGCTCATTTTTAGGCCCATCAAATATCATAAATAGCACGCTGAGTTCCCAGCTAAGGGTGCCAATGAAAGGATTCTTGTGGCCAGCAAAAGTGTTCCTTTCCAGTCATGTGCTAGAGATAATAAATGCAAATATGCATTCTAAATTGTACTTACTCTTATTGCACATTTACTACGCTACATCTTGCCAGCCCATTTCCAGGTGTCTCTGTCTAGCATGTTCTAAATGTATTTAAACCAAACAAGTTTGAAGCCAAAACAGTGAGCAGGTGATACATGATTTAAAAAAAATGCTTAGTATAATCCTAAAAATAAATATAAGTGGGTGCCACTGGCCCAAGTTTATATAATGCAGAGTCCAGCCATTTAAAAACACATCAGCTCCGTGAACTGGGCCCCGGTTGTGGAAATTAGCTGCAGAATAGAAATAAAGAAGTTGATCCAAAATTCATGAAATCCGGTGGGCTGTAATAATTCTTGTGTCAAATGAAAACACAGTCTTGACATTAAGTGATGTCTTTATTATTCAGCTGGGAATTGTGGATTCTTATTTCTTCATCTTGACCTTCAGCCATTTCTTTTTCCCTTTAGCACCTCGGAGACTCCTCTTAAGGAACTGTGGAACATTACTTAATACAAGTTGCAGCCTTTCCTTACACAATTGGAACTCAGCTTTTCAGTTCAAATGACTGATAACACACTCAGATTCACACTGAAAAGTATATAACAGATGCCAGAGCCTCTGGGGGGTGACAACCGTGTTAAGAGGAAATACTGCACACATTGAGGGAGGTATGTCTACCTGAGAAAATACAGTTTCCAAAGACAGAAAGTGGGTAAATAGATTGGTGGAGCCTGGGTGAAGGGAGGGAAAAGTCTACCCCCAAACAGTGGCAGGAGCATTTCAAAGGGATGTGCACAGTGCTGTGGCTTGAATATGATCTGTGTGTATTGGGTGCCAGGAACGTGGCACCCGCTGTGGTGATGTTAAGCTGGTGGGAATTGATTAGACTATCAGGGGCACCAACCTCAGAAGAGGCTACTGTGGTTTTTGTGGCCTTTGCCTGGGTCTCAACCTACTCAAGCCACCAAAGGGTTAGTAAAAAGGGAAATTTTTTTCGATATTAATGTATATGGAATTATTCAGGCTAATAATATTATTATTGCATTAGTATCCACAACCCATAGCACATTGCATTAAATGTGAATTAAAGTAATGGAAATGTAATCATTTGCTACTGAAAGTGTGGTCTGAAGCCAGTAGCATCAACATCTGGGAACTTGTTAAAAACCATAGGCCCACCCAGACCAGTGGGATCAGAGTCTGCATTTTACCAAGGTCTAGAGAATCCAACTGTCCATTAAAGTCTGAGAAACACTGTCGTCGGCTTTTGAAAACTGCAAATAGAGCAAAAACTAACACTTGATCAATTGACATGGAAGGAAAACAACTCATTAAAACTGCATTATTGTATTGTGAGTTAAACTGAGAAAGGGGTGAAAGTTTTATTAGCCCTTAAGTCCTCAAGAAATGACACAAGCCAAATCTATCCATTACCTTACACATTGAGACTGATCAAAGTGAACCAGGAGTTCAGCTTAATATGTCAGAAGTAGAGTTCTTTGAAGACCAGAAGCTTTCAGGAAAGCACAATGATTTTTAAAAAGCAAAGAGCCAGCCAAGAACAAAGCTCTGGTTACGTGGCTAATGGTAGATTTGGTAGGTTGAAATTCTAAGAACTCATCATCACAGCAGAACTAATAAATTTGCCAGGAAAAGTACTCTCCCTCATAAACATTCAAGGACAATAAAATTCCAGTCACTCGTATTGTGAGAAAAACCACTAATAGCCACAGCCAACTGGATTCACTTAATGGGATTAAAATGATCTAGAGACAGGACAAGGATGTCCCAATTGGTCACTGGATACAAAAGGGAAAATATTGACAAATATGAGTATTCAAAATTAAGATTCCCAGCAGTTGGTAGAGGATTTACCTAAGGTGAAGCCCTGCATTCCTTCCCCAGCACTGAATAAAACCAGGCTTGGTAGCACACGCCTGTAATCCCAGCATTCAGGAGACATCAGAAGTTCAAGGTCATTCTCTGCTGTACAGCCTGTGCTGCTGGAGACCCTGGAGAGAGGGTGCTGGGAGCAGGGATGAGAATAAATCCATCTCTGGTTGAAGAACCCTTTCTCACCAAGATATCTTAACATGGTTTGTTTCTAACAAGTTTCCCCTCGTTGATTCTGGTGTGGTTCAGTGTTCCGTTTGCATTTAAGGCTTTATACAAAAGGCAAATTGTCAGAAGAAAAACAAAATTGAGCGACTGCGTAGATAAACCCCAGGTGACTAAAGACAGACCTCTAACACCTAACACTGGGGCAGACTTGGCTGGAAAACCCCTTTTCCACTTAATGATAATCCTCAAACAGCTATTGAAATCGCTGCCTGCTTTCTCTTCTGTTTCCCTGGCAAGCTTCCATTTGCTCTGGCTTTTGCAAGAGTAACAGTAAGTAAATTTGACTCAACAAAACCAAGTATTATTTTACAAGTACAAACTGAAAATCAACCTAAGTTTGGGCTTGGGTTTTTGAAACTGATGCTAATTTTAAGCAGCAACCCTGAGAATCCCTGGAGGTTGCCATGAGCTAATCGGTAGCACCAGCATTTCCATGAGTTGGTAAACTGTTTTCAAGAGCAAGAAACCTTTTCACAAGCCCAAAATGGTTTTGATATCCAAACTTGCCCCATGGCAGCCCTTTCAGTGAAATATCTAAACCTTGTCTTCCGTAGTGAGGTGACTTTGACTGATAGCTTACAGCTTCAAAGTTTTGTTACATGTGTGCATGAATGTGTGCATGTGCGTGCGTGCAAAGTTCGTGTACTTGCATGTGGAGATCAGAAGAGGACTTGCAGGAACTGGTTTTCTTTACCCACTAAGTCATCTTATTAGCTTGAAAACTTGAACTTGATTTAGAGTCCACAAGTGAGTAGAAGGTGCTTTATTCATTTGGTGTGGCTTTGGTTTTTTGAGACAGGGCCTTGCTATGTAGCATGGGATGGCTTTGAGTACACCATCCTTCCGCCACTATCAATGCCCTCCAACCTCCAAGCGTTTGGATTACATGTGTAGCAAGGGTGTCATGAATTCCCCTGGTCTCAAAGTTGACATGGAGCCTAGGATGACCTTAAACTTCCGATTCTCTTGCCTCCACCAGGGCTGGGATTACAGGAACAGCCGGGTTTACAAAGTGCAGGGGATCAGACCCTGGGCTTTGAGCATGCTAAGCAGGCACTCAAATCGTTCCTAGCCCACAGGTGACCACTAAAGATTAATATCTTCACAAGCATCTCACACTCATTTTATCAAACTTCTGAAGCAGCACTTAATATTTTGTTAAGCAAAACAAGAGCCAAAGAATTTACAAATGGTTGGGGAGAGAAGTCGCCTGCGTTCAATGATAAACATTCACAGCCTTCTGGCAATTGATAACATTTGAATAATTAATGTTTTTAATCTCAGAAGAAAATTATGCTGACATCCTTTGACACAGGAGAGGTATTAAACAGGTAGTGAGGGACCAGCTGAGAGTTGGCAGAGCCTTCATCTAAATGACCAACCATTGTCACCGATCTTTCAGGACAAGTGAACTAACTCAAGAGCCAAGGGGTATTTGACACCACTGTGAGCTAAATGGACTGCACCCAATAAGGAGAATTGATCTGTGGTCACCAGAAAACTAATGACATAGTGTGTTAAAAACAACTACAATAGTCCAAAGGTATGTTCCTTTCCTAGAAAGGAGTGCTTGACATACAGAGGCTTGCCTAAGGGAGAAACAGGCCCAGAGAATTCACATCTGTCCATCTCCAAACACACAATCAAATACATATCTTGTTGCACCTGATTTCCCTTTGAATTATTTCAACTTTGTCAAACCACAGGAAACTAAGTTCCATCAACACGCAAAGAACCCCAACTCTATTCCCAAGCTCCCTTTGCCTCCATCTTAAAAAGTTAAATTGAGATAGATACTTATACATATATATCTATCTAACTCGATTTAACATATATGTATGTATGTATATATTTTCTTCAAGAAGCTCCGGGAATGTAGTTTAGAGAAAGAAGAGCATTCACCCAGCTTGTGTGAACCCTGAATATGACTCGCACTACCTGCAAATTTTAAAAATTTTAAAAAATACAAACGAAAGCATTATACGCTTATCGGTATTCTCTGTGGACCATTAACAGAGCTTGAAAGCACACAGGCTTTATGGAAAAATAAGAAATGCATTTCTAAGACACAAGCTTTCCAATCTAGACAGAGACAGCTGTTTGCTTCAACAAATTCTAGGTCTTTTGAGGACAATGTTATTTTTATTGCTTTTTGGAGTGCTGTGTAAAGCATAGAACCTTACAATTTACATAGTAAGCAATTTCCATCTTTAAATATACTCATGTGATAAGAAAAGGTACATGCAAAGGAAATACGTAGGATCTCAGGAATCATCATTTACATTAGAAATTTCTTTATACAAACATCTTAACTCTAAAAACAGAAAGGGTATCTGCAAAGAACCCTCTAAGACTGTAGAAAATCCAGCTTTCCATTTAAACAGCCTTTCACTGGGAGACATGAGTGATGGCAGATGACGGCCTCTTAAGAATAGACTCAACAGAAAACGACAGCGGCTCATTTGCCGAGAGTTTTGTTCCAACTTGTTTGGCTACAAAGAGGTCCTTTGCGCATCTGTCTATTGTAAATGTGTACTTCTGGTTCTCCTTGACCAAACACTCTCTGTGTTTCTTTGGGATCTCATCAAAGACTTCTTTGACAAATGGTGTTTTCAGCTCAAGGCCTGATTTGTCGTTGAGCGTCTGCTGGAATACCGAGTGGAACGGATTATGTTTAAGTGGCAGAGGGTGCCGGGTGTTTTCCTTGCTGATCTTCGTTAAGACGTGCCCTTGAGCTGCCAGGCAGTCCAAATCAATGGGAGAGAAATTTCGCCTGGGTGGGGAAAAGGCAGACCTCTCAGGGACAACCTGGTGAGCCTGAAGGTCAGTTCTTGAGGTTGGGACCTCGGGTAGATGAGGCAACACCAGGGAGCCTTCTGGTTTGGGTGGACTCATGTCATGATCTGCACTAAGGCCATCCTGAATCCGGGTCCCTTTCAAATCCCAGCTGGCCCCAGACTTCAAGGCTTGAACAGAAGTGGTAGCATTTAAAAGGTATTGCTGGTAAAGAAGGGTGTCACTAATGGGACCGCATTTGGGCCAAACTAAAAATCGTGAGGACAGGGGATATTGTCTGTAAGTTGTGGCCACACTGACGTTAGAAGAAATCAGTTCCATGTTCCCCGATCCTGAATACTGCATCGTCAGATCGAGGCAGGTTGGTAAAAAGTTACAAAAGTCCTTGCTGGGTGGCTCCCCTGCAGTGGGGCTGTAGGCACTTTTGTAGGAACTGTATTCAGGCCCCGGCACCATACGGTTGGGCAGGAACAAGGCCGCAGCTTGAGAAGTTTCCAACATCTCCCTCTCCTTATATTCTCTCTCCAGCATGATGTTCTCCAACTCTTTGTCCGCAAAGGCTCTTCTCTTCCTCATCCTGTCACTAACAGGTGGCGGTAGAGGAAGGGTCCCTCCCAGGTAAGTCTCTGCAGTTATTGGGCGATAGCCTAAAATAAGCAAGTATTGGTAAAGAAAACAGATTAACATCCTGACAAGAAAAATCTGGAAATTCAGAAGGCAAATGTAACATCATAAACCACAGGATAAATCAGTTATAATTCCAAATCACTGATATTTTAATATAGAAGCAAAAGTATATGTTGATTTAATATAGTTTCCCTATAGGGAAAGGTGCCCATATGCTAGCTTCTGGCTGTCATTGGTTTTGTTGGGATAGGTATGTCTGCTTGCTTGCTTCAGCAAGTGTATTATATTATGACTGAGATGTTAATATTCTTCCCAGATTCCTAGACATGGAGAGACAAATATGTCCACCTTATTTTCATCAGTTTCATTGCCCATATCATCTCTTTTTCTTTTTTCATTATTATAAAAGATATCTATACCTACAGCTGATGTCACTTTTATTTCCTAAAGATGTCTCATTATGTACACAGTGTTACAGCTGTAGAATAATCCAAGGAGAACTAGGAAAAAAAGAAAAAGAAAGTTAAAGAAGATTAGTAAGGAGAAAAAAGAAGAGAAGACTTGAGAACATAGAGCAGCATAGAAAAGCTGGAAATAGCTGTTAACTAGTCCAAACACACGGCACACCTAATAATTCATCAGGCTTCCCTTTGACCTCGTGAACAAACAAAGTGAGACAAAACAATGGGGAGGGGCGTATCTCCATCTACAGATCTCAAGTGTTTTCCCCCAAGTTCATTCATGTTGGCCAAATGCCAAAAGGGCCAAAAGAGCAGTCGTTAAGATGCAGATGAAGTTGTGCACAGTTCAGAAATAGAGACAAAACCAAAGGCAAAAACTAACAGAACACAAATAGAACGCTTGGAGCAGTGCACCACTTCCAAACACTTAGCAGGACTGGCAAGTTTTTCTGAAGGGTCCCGTGTGGCATTTGTATTTACACAGCGACAAACCTATCACACTCGTTTGCAAATAAAATAAAAACTGAAAAGTATTGCTTCCACTTCTAGGTTAAGTGTCTGCCAGAAAGTTATTTACTGGAGTTTACTTTTTTCCATTGAGTCCTCAAAATGCCTCAACTTGCTTTGGCAAAATTTTCGATTTATCAGTGTGGTCCCTAGGGTTATAAATGTTTACCTACTTTGCAACCAAATTCAAAACTCTTTCAAAGGTCAGAGGTGCACAGCCCAGTCTGAGACACAGACAACCTTTAAAACCACTCAGGATCAGCTAAACTCAGAAGAAAGAAAGGAAAAAAGACTCAAGTGTCCACTTCCAGGAAGGAAGCCCTTCTGTTTAAGCTGAACTATAGGAAGTGGCAGTGATTAAAGCAAATGAAACCCCACCTTAGATAAAGGCAAAGGAAGTGTAAACAACATTAAGGGAACCAGCGATGGCAATACATTGCTTAGCCAGTCACTAATAAACACCATGCCTAAATTCAGATGCTTTAGAAAATCACTACTTTTAAAAGGAAGAATTAACAGGTCTCCAGGGTTTGTAGAAAATGAAGGCGAGGGGAGCTCTACTCAGCGAGCCTCCAGTTTGCTTGTTTGATTCCAATCTTTTCCCACTCTACAGCCTTGAGGGACAAAAGCAGTAAGAAGGAAGTGGGGGGGGTGGGTAGTGTGCGTCTAGATTTCCAAGGAGGAAAACAGAACGCTAAAGAGTGAAACTTGAGGCTAGAGATGACTCTTGGTCCCAGCTGTAATGGCTTGCTCCACTTACTCTACCCATTAAGCTCCTTCCATAGCTATAGCGGGGGTGAGTTTTAATTGTTTTCTTTCCCAAAGGTGGCTTCCAGGATCACTTGACGGTGCATTTTTGTGCATCCCTCACACTGGGGCAAATTTCACAGGCCCGGAGCACATTAACAGTGAGAGGACCTTCTCCTGGTGGCAAAACCCTCCGCGAGTAAAGCGCCGTGCATTTTCCAGAAATGAATTCCCTTCCCCGAGGCAAAATGTCTGATGAGGATTAGCTCCTTCCTGGGTTAATACAAACGTCACGCGTCTAAATGATAAGCACCCCTCAACTGGGTTTAAACTTGACGTTATTTTACCTTCTAAAATACTTTTGGCCAGCAAACTTGGCGCCCTGACTTGCCTCTGGTACACTGCTTTCCGCTCGAAATTATTCTGTTTCCCGGAAAGTCCCTTCTTGTCCTGTAAACACACACACACACACACACACACACACACACACACGAGAAAGAAAAAAAAATTGTGAGAGTGAGGGAGGGGCATCCACAAGCTTCTAGAAGTCTCCCCAACCGAAACATATTTGTTTTGCCGTCTCTTATAAAAATTATTTAAAAGAAAATTAATGGGAGCGCTCCTTAATCTCAGCTCAGCCACCTAGTGGGCCACTCCCGCTTTCTTTAGATACCGCTCCAAAAGACGGTTAAGGAAACAGCTAGAGGGAGTTGAGAACCACTGTCAAGAGGACTTTAGGAATCTGGCCTGAGAGAACTAGCTTGGGGGACGGTTGCCTCCCCTGGGCGCATGCACTAGGCTGAAGGTGCCCTAAACCTGCCTCTGAGGACAGGATAGTTTCTCCGCTAGGTGGAGTGGAGAAGATGGGGTGCCAGAGACTGAGGGAGTCTTCAGTGTCTGCCTTGTTCTCAGGAGGAGGGCGGTACGTAAAGACGGAAGAAACTCTTAAGGGACACCAGCCTGGGAACCCTCTGCTCCCTCTACTCCCTGCCGGGTTGCTTCCAACTCAGTGAACTGCGGAGAAGCCTAGCAAGACAGGGCAGCATCTACCTCCAACCAGAAAAGAGATTGAGCCCAGGGCCAGGGCCACCTGAGGTCCCGAACAGCTTTGGGCTTAGAATCTCTTACGTACAGCCCGAATTTTTGTCACCTCTGGAAAACGGGCGGGCATCAAGTTCTGCCTAAGTGTTAAGAGGACACCGCACAGTGACAGCAGCGTGTGTTGCTTTACTCACGGTGGGCGTAATTAACACAGTGACTGTACACAGCGCATTGTCAACCACCCTCGTCCCTCGCCGACCACCTGCAAAACTAACCCTAAAATATTTTAATGACTTTTCCGTGGTGTCCCAAATGGGCCTAATTATTTTCAATGCCACACTTTGTTTTTTAGTAGGAGACTTTTCTAGCACGCTCTGCTTGGTCCACGGCTTTCCCTCCCGAGTCCGCAGATTAGCGTGGGCAGAGTATCTGCAGCTCTCCTGCTGCTAAGGGGCTCCCCATCCTAGCTGGGGACACGCACCCTCAAGACGCACCCGGGGCCTAAGGGTACCCACCTCGGTAGCCTGCTGCCTCCGGAGCGCCACCTGGGCGGCCATGACACGCTGGCGCTCCACCACGAGCAGGCAGTTGGCGCACTGGCAGTCCCGCCAGCGACAGAAGCGCTTGTGGCCCTTGAGACAGGACACCACGCCGTGGTTGCGGCAGCGCGCGCATTTGGGCGTGCGGCTCAGTTTGCGAGGCTCCGCGCCGCCACCCGCGGTGGCACCGCGCTCAGGGACTGCGGTGGCGGCTGGCAGCTCCTGAGCCGCTGGCGGTGGCCTGGGTGCCGGTCCTCCCGGCTGCTCTGGCTGGTCCGGCACCTCCGGGGACGCGCCCGGTTCTTCGCCGCCGTCACCCTCGTCCTCTGCGTCTTCGTCCTCCTCGTCTTCTTCCTCGTCCTCCTCGACGTCCCCATCTGCTGTTGACGGACTGGGTCCCTGAGACGTGGTCCGCTGCGGAGCCCCACTGCCATCCTCCTCCAGCTCTAGGCTCTCCACGTCGATCTCCCAGTCCCCGGATCCCGGGACTGCCTGTCCTTCTGTCATGGCGCTAGGCTCTCTTTCGGGTCGGTTGCCGGCACTCTAGGGAAACAGAAAGAGGTCCGAAGACCCGCCTGTTGCAATCAGGACCCTTTCTGAGTCTTAGCCCAGAACTTCTTTTGCAAGACCAGAAGTTACCCAGTTTCTTTCTGGTCCCTACAATACAAGCCGCACAACCCAGCGATCCACAACTCAACAAAGGTTTTAGTTTACTAATTCTAAGTGGTCTGTGCACCTGACCTTTAACCGCAACCCTGTCTGGCCTCTCCAGACCAGTCACCCACTGACCTTACACACTCTCCGGTTTAAGCCACTTGTCAAGCTTTTCCACAGTCGGCTAACATGGCCATGATGCATATAAAACTGTCGATGGAACAATTATCTTTCTTTTAATTACAAGGGACCTTAAAATCACGTTTCCCAAATGTCCCTCACTGACTGATCTATGCCACTGCAAAGACTCTGGAGCATCCCTATACTTCCCCTACACCGACGCTGTGCTATTATTAGAGGGTCCACACACCCACAGGGAGTGGAGGACACTGGACATAAAGCTGCAGAAGCTAGTCTCGCATCAGCAGTGCTTGGGCCGCACAGGGTTGATGCAATTTGTTTTTCATCGTTAAGCAAGACAACCAGAAGCAGAAAGGATCAGTAATGATAATTCAAGCCCCCATGCCCTCCCTGACTCCCGAGCAGCGACATCACAACACTCACCAAAGACTCAGAGGCCCAGGCTAGCAACCCAGTAAAAAGATATCCAGTTTTAGGATCTCACTCTGGAGCTGCAAGCAGCAGACGCAAACTGAAAGGGATCTGACAGCAGGAGGCCGGAGCCCACAGGGTAGTGGGGAGGGACGGAGGCAGGAGGTGAGTCAAGTCCTCAGCAACCTCACCCCGTACATCCCAAATTCTGCAGAGTTCTGTTCGGTCCTATGTAGCCCCGGTCGCTTGACTTCGCTTTCCACTTGGCCTAAAATGGGCAGGAAAGGTGGGGCTCGGACCCAGGACTCTGCCGCCGCAAGCGCACTCAGCTCGCTTTCTGGGCAGCAGCGTCACTCACTGCAGTCCCGGGCCTCCGCGCCCCTTCCTAGTATTATCCACCCACCTACACCCACCCCCGAGCTCCGCGTCCTCTGATTGGTCGATCATCAGGCGGTGTGCACGCCGATTGGCTGAAGCACTCAGGCTGAGCGCCCACCTCCTCTGCACAGCGGACGCTTCCCTCCTAGCTTTACCGAGCCGGAGTCCACACGCCAGCCTTCGCTGCAGCCGGGTCCCTGATCCGGACGCTGAACCTGAAAGTGTGAGCAGCGATCGCAGCAGAGACGTCTCCGTTTATCTTGGGAACTAGGGAACAAGCTGAGTCTCACTCTTATGCACCGTATTTTTCTCGAGAAGGTAACTAAGAGGTAGCGATCAGAAAGGTTAGCGTTGATTTCTATCGATGGTCTGTCTCATCATCTCTGGTATTTAACCATCGACCGGCAGCTGGGCTGAGAAAAAGGGGACGCTCTTTGTGGCATCTTTCCACACGAAGAAGTCCATGCTGATCTTGCAGGATAGCGCCTTACTGTCTTACAAATATCTGTATTTTGTGGATAGCACTGAAGTGCAAAACAGTTCTTTCACAGAGCAGGGCAGGTGGCCGCCTCAACTACAGGTCACTTACATTTTCCTTCTGTCAGTGGATAGCACAGTTCATACTGGAGAAATGGAAATCATTCTCGCCAATAGCAAATTTAGATACAAAAATATTCCATCTAAGCATGCATGTATACAAAAATTTTTAAACTGTTTTTTAGCATGTGTGAATAGTGTTTGTAAAGAAAATCGACTTTTTTCTCTCTCTCAAGTTACCCGTCCCATAAATGTTTGAGACAAAGTTAAATTCCCCCATGAGTTGCAAGGAAGTCCCTTAAACTGCATTCCGTATATCTTAAGCTAAATGTAAAATCTCATTGATGCTTTTGAAATCTCACCTTTAAATATAGTCCTCTGCAGGAGGACCAGCTTTATGATGAAAAAAACTTCGTGTCGTTCTCCTGGACTCTCGGTAGACCAGTGGTGGATATTTGTTGAAGGGAGACCATTTCGGAGCTGATTGTAATTTTCCTCTAATCCGAACCTGTCAGAAAGTTGAGAGTCAATCAAGCTCCCTCCGAAGTGGAAACAAAGACCATCCGCCTGCCGGAAACACAGGTGTCCTCACACCCCTAGTGAGGCTAAATTCCTCCTAGGTCGGGCACTGGAGCCGCATTCGTGCCCAGAGCCAAGGCGATGTCCAGCTTTCTGTATGTTCCCGTAGATTTTTCAGTGTCTCTTGAGGGTCTTAAGAGGAGACTCGTAAGTCGCAAGACTCCCTAGTACAATTTCACTGAGGTAAAACAGGAACCAACTCTTGCTGCCTCTCCGTTAGGTTAGCACCTCCTAGTAACACAGCCGAGTTTGTGTTCTTCCTTATCTAACCAAAGATAAGGTTCACCTGGGTGGGAGCTTTTGCGTTCTCTACTTGTTTAGCCTCCGTTTTCTCCCGTGAGTCCTGGAGAGACCCATTGTCCTTGGATTAAGCCAGGTACTGGGTCAAGAAGCTTGGACCTGTGTAGCCTCCCCACTGATGTCACAGAAAGTAGGGAGTCCTCGATTCTCAAAAGCAAATACTGGCAAAGGGTTTGCCATGGTTTCTTGGTTGTTTTGTTGTTGTTGCTGTTCCTTTGTTTTTGTTTTCATAGCTCCTCCACATCACTTCTGAAGTTAATGCATGGAGTTAGGAATAGATTCTCCAGAACAGGATTAGGCACTGGTCTTTTTTTCGTTGTTTTGTCTTTGTCAAATAATGCTGAGCTTTCTCCAGCACAGTCACACACACACACACACACACACACACACACGATACATTTCTACCTTTGCAAACAGCGTATTTCTGTGTATCTGCCCTCCGATTGAAATTCCACCACCACTACCCTGCCAGATCATGTAGACAGAAGGCTTGGTTCTTTATTTATTGCTTGTATGCTGGGCCCCTAAGAATAAAGAAGATAGAATAATTAGCCCTTCCCCAGCAATTTTAAATATTAATGACATTCAGAAAATAGGCTTGCTTGCTACTAGATGGCAGAGAGGGGAGCCAGGAAGGAACAGGGGGAGGAGGTGTGGGTAGCTGCTTCCTAAACTGAAAGTAAACAGGCTAGGGAATCCAGCAGCCCTCTTACTAGTTCAAACTTTAAACAGCACGAGAGAGAGAGAGAGAGAGAGAGAGAGAGAGAGAGAGAGAGAGAGAGAGAGAAATAATATTTGGGTACATGAACCAGCCAGATAAGACCAAAACTTGAAAATGGGACATGGGGTTGGGGGCCCTAAGGCAGAGGAGTAAACCCAGAGGACCAGCCCTTGGGAAAGTCCCAGGGCAGAGACCAGACTGTCTCTTGTGGGCTTGCTGGACCAGACCAGGGAAGGATGCTGGAGAGCTTCTTGGCTCAGCTGGATCCCTAGGTTGCAGGGTGGGTACACCCAGAGGGTCTTCTCCAGCACTGCAGAACCCCATGGACAGGGAAAACACAGGACAATAGCTTCATCGCTGTCTGCTGATTACCACACACACACACACACACACACACACATCGCCCCTTTTCCCTGTGTGTCTTCCTTCCTGTACCACCATCTGTGCAGCTGCGATCAAGATCCTGTTGAATTACACTCCATCCTCTGGTCTTAAAGTTCTCCAGGGAACCACTGGTGGGGATTTATCCAAGGACAAACTTCAGGAAATCCAAGACACTCCCATACTAAAAGTAAAAATGTGTGCAGTCCTTCTGGGGGTGAATGGTCATGCGTTTTACTGGACTGCCAAAGGATGCCATAGTTACACAAACTGTTCGGTAAACTAAATATTCAGGAGAAATGGGGGTGAGGGAGCCTGGGCTCCAGTTAGTTTTTCCACAGACTAGTGACCTTGGACAATTATTTTTCTACATCTTTTTAAAAAGTGACCTTTCCTGGCCTGGCATATGAAAACTTCAATCTACAAGGATAGGGTGATCGAAGAGTGTGACCTCCGGAATAGACCTCCTTCTCCTCTCTGAAGACAGTCTTTGCATCCAGCGAGAAACTGGCTTCTCTTCGCCCTCTTAAAAAGACCTTACTTGAGCCGGGCGGTGGTGGCGCACGCCTTTAATCCCAGCACTCGGGAGGCAGAGGGAGGTGGATCTCTGTGAGTTCGAGGCCAGCCTGGTCTACAAGAGCTAGTTCCAGGACAGGAACCAAAAGCTACGGAGAAACCCTGTCTCAAAAATAAAAAAAAAAAAAGAAAGAAAAAAGAAAAGACCTTACTTGACTCAGGACTTGTTAGGTAAAGAAACAAGACTTGGAAACCAACAGCAAGTCACAAAGCACTGTTCTTTCCAATGCTCTTTGCGCCACTGTTGCAAGCTGTGGAGTTGGTGTCCTTCCCCCACTGGCCCTTATGGGTGAAGGTGGAACGTGTCCTGGCTTGCTTGTGACTAATCTACACACACACACACACACACAAACACACACACACACACCCCTCCACCCCTTCCTGCTCCAGCACTTTTTGAGCCTTACCAGCTGAGAAGCTTACCCTCGGAGAGTCAAAGGGAAACAGAACTGAGATGAAGGGGGGGGGGGGGTCTTTCCTTGGTAAGAGTGACTTGGTGCTTTCTCCAAACACCTGTCCAAACATAAATAAATCATTTTCAAAGAAGGCACGCCTATATCAGATTGGCCCCTGCTCATTGTACAATCCCTTGAACACCCTCCACTAGTATGGCCCCTGAGTCAGGCAGTTAAGCTACTCCTGTCTTTACCACCTAAAGCCAATTGGCATCTCCACCTCCACCCTGAGACCTCCACTTGCTCAAGGAGCCACTGGGACTCTAGGGTAATCAAGCCTAAGGACTCATAAAATGGACCTGGGAGGCTGCTACCACTAGCAGCAGCTTGAACTGCCCAGTGAAAAAATTCCATGTGGTGATTGGCTGTTGGGC